CCCAACTCAGCCAGAAATATGTCATGATATGCTGATAAGGTCTTTGATTCCCTCTCATGGCTGCTATCAGCAAAGTTAAAGAGCCCATACTTGCTGGCTCTCAAGAGGTGTCTGCAGCTGCTGTAAAACTTTCCCAGTTGCTAGCAATATGCGTTGTCAGGGCAAGGAGAAAACTTTCAGAGATCTTTTTCCTTTGCTGGAGCATCTGCTCCTGCGAGAGGGAACGGAATCAGATGTGGTTCCATTTGGGCAAACAGAGTGTTTCTGCACAGGTCAGCCTTTGTGGTACTGGTCAGTGCCCAGGGAAAGGACACCCTGCTTTCATTTGAGGCTTGCAGTGCACAGTCAGCTGTGTAAGTGGTAGCTAACGGGTTTGATGGGGGAAAGACGTAAATCCAAACCCTTGATGTCTGCTGCTAATTTTTCACTCTTTTAAAAGCTCGTAAGCTATCTAGTTGCTACAGTGCTGCTACTGGATATGCTTAGCCAGTGTTTAAGTATTTAGTTCATCTGAGTTAAGTAGTGTCTGGAGAAACTTTGTACCATTTGTTTTAAAATTTCTGTGCCGTGTCCTTGACTTTGCCAGATTGATGAGTGCCTTTATTTTAAACTGCTGACTCCCAATTTGAATACTGGCAATTTGAGAGGTATGTGTCCTTCATTTTAAAGAAGCCAGTGTCTTTTATTAGGATCCTGGCAAGCTAAGAAGCATGTATCCCATCTGTTAAAGGGCCAGTGTCATTTACTAAAATGTTGGCAGGCTGCAAGGAATGAACCCTTCTGTCTAGAGGTCTAACGTTCCAATTGGACACAAGATAATTGTTCTTAATATTTCTTTAGCGTTGTATACTTTTTTTTTAATTGCAGTCACTGATTGACAGTAACTTGGTACGGCTGCATTAGAAACTGGCAGCTCAATGTCTTCATCATTCTGCTTTCTCTAGTAATAATTTCAGTTTTGACCTGGAAAGAGTTTCTAGCTGAAATGGAGAACAGCAGGTGTGTTGAGAAGGGGATGAACCAAGATGATATTTTTAACTCACTTATTTGATTCTTCTTCTGTAAGGCACGAGAATAGAAATACCACACTTTTATATCAGGTAATGTATATGTTTGGAGGATTCAAACTAAAAAAAATTAAACACAACCCAGGGGAATGAAGAAATTTTCCTTATGTTATCCTCAAAGCATTGAAACACATGCTGTAAAATCAAGCAATTTGCTTCTACTTTCTGAATGAAGTAAAAGCATGGCTGTGTATGTTTGTCCACATAACCATTTTTGAGATCATAAAACCAAAGAGACTTTATTTTTCTTAGAGGAAAATTATATAAAGAAGCTACTTTTCATACGCAGGCAAGAACTGTTTAGGAAATTGATTAATATCAGTAAGGAAACATTGCCTGACTTGAAGGTAATTCAGTCTTTTTGCTTAGTTGTTGACTCTTTACCTAGTGATGATGCTCAGTAAGACAGCAAAGACAAGTTTTATAGCTCTGTCCTAAGATTTAGTAATTCTATAATGTAATTCAAGTCCAAGATTTTAATGCACATATTGGCAAAGAAAACCCTGTGGCACATCCACACTGTAGATCATCTGCTTCTATGACTTCACTAGCTGCAATCCTGCATACTTGGTCTCATATTTATAAACTTAGCTTCACTGAAGCTTACCAGAACACAGACATATTTTCAAATCTGTTCTTATAGCGAGTGAAATGAGCGTATAATAGTAGAACAGACTACAGAACTGTTGACAGAAATGTAGCAAGTTTTGCCCCCTGATACCTGTGATCAAATCCCGTATTTAACAGCTTGAATGAAATACTTGCTTGAATGAAAATTGCTTTTCTAACATTTACCCTTTCTAGAATTAACTTAAACATGCACCTAATTTTACTTTTCCAAGATTAGCTGTAGATGTAATTCTTGTTCAGATCCTCAATCCAATTATTACAATCTTAAAGTCAGTCTTTTTGCTTAAACAGTTTGCTTAAATGCTGACTGCCTAAATATTTCGGGAGCTGTCATACTAACTGATACTATGATTTTCCATCTGACAGGGTTTTTTTCAGGGGCTGTGTTGTCCATTTTGGATGCTAGTAGAAGAGGTTGGAGTAGTTGATTTTTGGGCTGGGTGTGACAGGATTAATGATCAAGTGCTTTTCAGCATCTTAGCAGCTGTGGACGTCGCATGGTTTTGGATGTTGGTTTTGCATGCAATATATGCTTGGCAGCTCTCCAAAAAACAGAATACTGTTCCAAGATCTCAGCTGAGAAATATTTTTCAGTAGGAAGTGCATTTTCAGTTTACAAGAGTAGACCATCTCTCAGAGTTTTGCAGATTTTTTTGATTTGTATTTGATAGGTACAATAGTGTTTCACAAAATTCCAGGGATAGGGTTTTTGTAAAGGCTGCAGACTTCTTCCAGAAATTTTGACAATCTCTGGATATGCAGAAATGTCAGATGTGTTCACTGCACAATTATGGTCTGCCTGTGCAGTACAAACTCAGTGACTCTGGTTCTGGCAGGAAACATCAGGTCTTACGTAAATGTGCTGCATGAGTGTAAGTCCATCATGCTCAGAACAGGTTGGATTTCCTGCTTGCACAGAGAAGGAATTGAACAGTGCATGTGCAACAAGTCTGGCACATCCAGAATGTGTTAGAGGTAGTAGGCGTATGCAGACAGAGTATACAGTGCTTACTCTGTAGTGCAGATGATTCCCAAAAGGATTGGACTTGCCTGCACATTGGTCCTCAGCGTAGATTTGCCTGGCAACTCCTTTTACAGGCTGCCAGATTTCAGATTTGAGCCTCAAAATGTGAAAATAAATGTAGTATTTTGCTAGCCTAGTAATTTCTATTTTCGTTCCGCATTGTCCTATTCTCAGTTTTCAGTGCAACTTTCTGTGCTGCTTTGTAGCTGCAGTTCTCTGAAACTGCTCCACATCCTGCTTTGAAATGCTGACATCATTTTTTATTTTTTTTCACTGCTTGTATTCCCTGGCAGTCCCCACCAAGATCAAGGTCTCATTGTGTTCATTGCTGTTATGGAAGTTTGAGCCTGACCCCAAGCAGTTAGAGTTGAGGTGGAAGAGAGAAAATCTGTCAGGAAAAAAAAATGTGTCCTGTGGGCAAGAATCTGACATGCAGGCAGTGCAGCCGTTTGTCCAGGTTCCTAAAAAGTCCCTGTCAGGCTGAGAATTCATTCCAGACCTCAGCCCCAGGCCTCCTTTCTTTTCAAAGCCAATACTTTGTTATATGACCACTACTTCTGCAAGCTTCAAGTGGTGAAAAGGAACTTGGGATGTTAGCCATTCCTTCTTGAGTAATAGACTCATCTGTGCCCAATTGAATATGAATTCAGCACCTCCTCTAAATTATCTTCTTCTTTCCCCTCTACCTCCCTTAGTTTTCATTGTGCCACGGCAATACAGTGTCATTAAAACTTCACTGGAGAAAGACAGGAGGTCATGGCACTGGTAGTTCAGGAGTACAGACTTAACTGGTGATGAGGTTCTCTGAGGTGGTGGTTTGGCCTTCCTGACACAAGTCATGTGCTTCACTGGACTGAGGCCCTATTTTAAATAAACTCATCATTTTGTTCATGCTTCAAAGAGTTTGGCTGTAATAAAGCATGTGCTTCAAAGGTCGAGAATCTGTCCATAAAAGGAAAAAGCAAATGCTGTGTCTGAGATTTATTTTGATCAAGCTGACTCAAATCTGTATTTTTAGTGTGTTCTGTGTAAATTACTCAGAATTTATCATTTTAACAACAAGATGTTCACTACATTATTAAATACTGAAAGAGATCTTGTCTTTTCTTTCCCTCAAAAAAGATTTCTCTTCATCCTTTCCTGCATCTTTTTCCCCCTCATTTGGAGTTGTCTTTAAATTTTCTAACATTTGAAAATCATAAAACAAACTGGATAAATATATTAGATGCTTGAATTTTACATATAATAATTTGTTTGCCTTTCAAATGCAAATAAAGTGGCTATCAGTTGAAAGAA